TTAAATAATATTAATTTTCAAAAACAACTTCATTTCTATTTATCGATATTTCTTAACATGCACAATAACATTCTGTTAATTGCTGCTCAGCTGGTATTTACATAAATGGTATAATAACTGTATAACATTATACTGTGTGTCCTTTTCAACAAACTGTTATTATACTGTTTGCTTCTATTATTGTTATATCTGCACTATGATTTTAGTTCTGTCACTGGAAATCAGTTTTCTATAATTTGAATAGTGAAAATGTTTTTACAAAAGTTCTCTACAGAAATCTGCAGTCTTACCTCCACATTTATTTCTTTGTTCTTCGTTGCTTTTCTAGTGTCGCGAATCGAAAAAAAAGATCAGCAGCTATTTGCCGTGTAAAGAAACTGGGGACTACTACTGTTCCTGGCTGCTCGTCTGTTTTAACCTCTAACAGACCTTTAGTATAAGTTGCCGAGTGACTGAGAAGAGTCCTTGCGGTACTTCTTTATATCACTATACTTTGCGATAACTTTTTAGATTATATCTGGTGCCATTATACTTCTATTGTTATTTTTCTTATTGCTCTTTCTTATAATTCTAAGTTGCATTAGTTTCCCTTAATGTTGTATTGGTTTCTTTTTTCACATAAACTTCCCTTAAGGGTTTCACATTTGTTGCTTAAGTCTTTGGTTCCTTTTCTTTCTGTTAGATAAATATCCCTATTGTTTTTACGTTTGTTGCTTAAATCTTTGGTTCATTTCTTTTTATAGAAATTTTCCCTATGTTCTTCAAGTTTTTTGCTTTAGTCTTTGGTTTATTTTCTTTGTGGTAGATACATTTTCATGCATATTTCCAAGTTTGTTGCTTAAGTCTTTGGTTTGTTTTCTTTCTATTAGATAAATTTCCCTGTTGTTTTCTATATTTGTTTCTTAAGTCTTTGGTTTATTTTCTTTGCAGTAGATAAATTTTCCTTATGTTTTTCAAGTTTGTTGTTTAAGTCTTTGGTTCATTTGCTTTTTTATATAAATATTCCTAATGTTTTTCAAGTTTTTTGCTTAAGTCTTTGGTTGGTTTTTGTTTTTAGTTTATTCTTTTAACAATTTTCTTTATTGTTTGTGCAGCAGAGCTTATAAATTCCATACCATTTTTAGTGTTCAATGAGAATGTGTTTTCCTTGCTACTCCATTGAAGTATACGAATTTATTCCTTACAATACTTCTCTATAGCTTTTTGAATTTGCTGATTAAGTTTTGAGTCATTTCTATATATAAATACAAATACAAGCTCATGCTTGTGACTGTTCTGAGAGAATTACATACACTCTCTCGCTCTTTCCCTTATTATTTTTCTATAAATTTGCTTGACGTTTAAAGTTTGCTGCTTACTTCTTTGTTTTATTTTAATTTCTTCAATACGGTTTCCTTGTAACTTTTTTTTTTTAATTTCCTAATGATCCGTAAGGGTGTACTTTACTGTTCACGTTAATTTTTTTTATTTAAAATATTCATTTTACATTTCTTTTGCTTGTTGTGGCTTTAGTTTCTCTGTTGCTTTCATATTGTAGTCTTTCTGTTATTTTAAAATATTTATTTGGCATAACTTTTCAAATATCCTTTGTATGACAAAAATCCTTAGAAGCAATTTTGCAAATTTTATTTTTTATGAATTTCTGGCAAGCTCAGAAATGAACTTGTTTGTTAAACACAAAAGAAAACACTTTAAAAAAATTAAATTAACAATCAATATTAATCAAAATATTTACTTGTAATTTTATTTTAGTTTTATTTTTTTATTTACTTTTTATAATTTATGTATTTTACATATTTAAACATTTTATGGATATTCTTTGCATTAAGAGTAAATCATGACATTGAATAATTAATTTGCTTTACTTGTAACGCCCATAAATTCTTATTAGCAAAAAAGTCTCATTTTCATCTCATGTACCATGTACCATGTACCATATACTTCACAATACTCTACGGCGGTTATAAGAACTATGAACACCCAAATAAAATCAAACACACCTGAACTTCGGTAAACTGGAAAGAAACAAACTAAGAACTAAAAACTAAAAACTAAGAACTAGAAAATTTTGTTAAGAAATATGTAGCACATTTGCTATAAATTCCACAAAATGATCATAAAAATTTAAAGCCCTACAAATTGAAATTATCATGCCAGTACGAGTCCAAAAAAAGAAAGGAAAAACATATCTATGACAAAAAAAAAACACAACAACAACAACACATAAGACATATTAATACATATATTTAACAAATCAGCATAACAAAAAAAAGAAGAAAAGTGAATGTCAAGAAAGAAAAACAACAATAATAATAACAACATGAAGGAAAATATAACAAGAATTATGGCATTAGCCAGAAAATAAATGCAACAAATACAACAAATACAACAAACACAACAAATACAACAAATCTATGTGCAACACACAAATTTTGTTAATTTTATTTAATTTCTTTACGCGCCATAATCAAATTTCTTGGCAATCATAATAAATTCTAGTGCAACACAACACTTGCCATTGCCTGCCGCCCCGCCATTACCACCGCGAGCCATTGCCTCCTGCACCTACTTTATGACTTCACCATACAAAATATGTAACAGACAGCACGAGCAAACAAGCTGCCAGCCTATGCATATCATTTGCACTGTATGTACTTTACTCTCACTTTACAGCCAGCCAGCATAGTGTCGGGCATGTACATTTGTTATTACTGTCGTTTTTATTTGTTTTGTTTCGCTTTTTTCACTTAACTTTTTGCTATTTTTGTTTTTTGTTTTTTGTTTTTTGGTTTCTTTTTCATTTTCATTTTTTTATAGGAAAATGCACTATAAAATTATGCGCGACGAGCTTAATTGCTGCGACACATGTACTTATGATACATTTTATAGTTTTCTTTGCAAAAGAATTTGTATGTGCGGCTGTTTGTATGTGTGTGTATGTGTGCATATGTGTGCGTGAAGCATCACTAAACATTATCACGTAGGTTTTGTGTTTTTGCTGGGGCTTTTCATATTAATGTGGCCTAAAGTTATTTACGTGTTTATGAACTGCATTTATGGTTTTCAATATTTGTTGTTTTTGTTTGTATTTTGTTTTGTTTTTTGTGTTATGTTTTCATTTTTCTGCAATTGCTGGTGTTGTTGTTGTTGTCTCTTTCGTCTTGCTGTTGTTCTGAGGTGTTAGTCAATTTAACTATTTTTACTTTGTAGTGCTACATATTGGTCAGTGCTTCAACGAGCCTTGTTAAATGGTGTTGCGTCTCTGCTAAGAGCACATGCGATCGCAATAAATTTGTTTACTGCGGTTTTGTCATTTCAAATGGATGTATGGATGTCTCAAATTAGTTCGCATGGATCGTAAAACTCGTAGAGCAAAGGAAAATGCTATAGAGCGTATAAGCAAATTTAGAGAAATTAATTATGCAGAAATTTAATGCACTCATTTAAAAGTTTTATATATGTATTTTATTATTTTATTATTTTATTATTATTACTAGTTGGCCATTACCGATGTTAGTTGTCTTTTCCCGTGACCAGTAGTCTTAGCCAGTCAGCCCGACCTGTGGTGTGCTATCCCCTGTTATTAATACCGAGTGCCATAACGTCATTGAACAACTAATTCTTCCACCGAAAATGTCGAGATCTTCTACCGTACACTCAACCAGCGTATACCGAAATAGACACCTTTCTAGACAAAGCACTTTCATTCAAATGAGATTCCAACTAATTCGATACTCGTTGCCATAGCGTAAGCAACCATAGTTCTCCCGAAGAATTTTTGTCGCAAATGCCGCTAATGCCTACTCATCATTATTAGTAATTCTCTAAGCTTCTGCACCAGATTGCTGGATAGGCATGGCAAGAAACTTGTAGAGCAAGTTGATTTTCCTTGTCGAAGGAGCGCTTTATTTCGCGATTGCCTACTTAGCACGAACTAATGCTAACATTCAAAAAGAGAAGTACTATCGTTGCAAGCATATAACAATAAATGTGCTACTAAACCGCACAGGAGGTGTAAATCTGGTATCACGGGGGTCAGGACTCACAGCTTCGACTGTTCCGACCAATGAAGTGTCGTAGTGACTGTAATTAAAACCCAAATATACGCGAGTGGAATAACTGTATTCATTTACTTTTATTCGATATGGAGTTGCATTTTCCAACTGAATACTGTGACCTAAAGATCAGCAGAGGTGTTAAGTAGGCCTAGCTCCCCATCAAGGGGGAAACTATATCCACATGTATAGTTTCAATTGGTACCGGCGAGATTTCTCGGAACTCCAATGAGGCGTTTATCAGCGCAATATACCAATACATGTGTGCTAAATACTTCTGTGCTGAACTTCTGTACTAAATACAGCACGATTGCATGACAAGTTTTAAAAGTGATCATTTACTCCGAGTTATAAAATCAAAATCAAACTAGAATAGAAATAGAACAAATAAATTGTTAAAGCAAAAAATCCATGAATGATATCATGCTGCTGACTTTGATTTGAAGGAAGAGGATCTTCAAATATGTAATTACTTCTATGCTTCTTAAAAGTGGAGTTGCCAGCACTATTAAGTTCAGTGCAGTGATAAATAAGCGTCGTGTGAAAGACGAAAGTAGAAAATAGTTAGCTGGCACATCGATATAAAATTATATTGTATATTGATATTGTTTACTGTCAGTATCCAGAAGGTAATGTCTTTATTTTTTCATATTTACTATACTTAAAGAACGAGAACCTTTAAGAAATAAAAGCCTTCTGGCAAATGCTAGGAAATGATAAATAGATCTCTAAAAATTTCCTCTTTCTTCTCTAAGTCATTACTATGATAGAACTTATTAAAAAGAGGCTCTTAATCGGTTGGCACACCTTTCTATAAGACCGTGTATACAGAATAAGTGTTACTAATAAACAAATTGAATAATATATACAATATAGCCTAATATATGTAGAGTACATGTATAGTATTGAAATGAATAATTTATTAAAAGTTGTAATCAAACTCACCTTAGTACTTGTTGTTCTTGGAACTCCACCCAATGCAATAGCGTACACTTCAATTTCATATGTATCAGGTCCCGCCTCACGATCTAATTCCTTCGCTGTGGATAGTATACCCAATTTAGTGTCAATGTCGAATAAACGATCGACTTGTTGATAGAAACCGTTATTTTTACCCGCACCGACGGCCGTTACATTTGTTACATAATATTCGATTTCGGTAGAACTCAAATGCGCACTAACTGTTAGAATACTAGTACCAGTTGGTTCGTTTTCATATACCGAACCAGATTTTTCACGTTGATCAAATATTGGCCCAACTACTCCATTACCAGATGTCGCTATAATAGTAATATAGGCATCAGAACTTTTGCGTTCACTTTGCACCGCTTCATCTGTAGCTTTCAGTGCCAGTTGGTAACGCACCTCAGGTTGTGTTATAGACTTACGTAACGATATGGCACCAGTATTGCGCTGTAACTTAAAAAGTTCTGTATTGCCACTGACCATTTCATATGTAACCAAGCCATTGCTAGACGAATCAGCATCGCGAGCATGCACGTACATAACAATAGAACCGTCACGACCTGGACTGACAGTCTTCGAATGTGTAGGCAAAATCGCTGCATTCATCGATACAAAAATAGGTGCATTATCGTTTATATCTTCAACTATGACAGTCACAAGTTTTTCCACCGACAACTGCACTTGCGGCTTCTGTGCTTGATCAGTGGCAACGACGGTCAAGCGAAATGTATCAATAGCTTCACGATCGATTTCACGCAATGTATGTATAACACCTGTTACAGTGTTGATACCAAAATGTCTGCCACCAGTCATCTCGGGATCTTGTTTTGCTATTGCATACGTTACTTTCCCATTTAGTCCAGAGTCTGGATCCTCTGCGGTCACTGTGACTATAGGTGTTTTTATGGCGATCCCTTCCCTGATTTGGCGTACGATCGCTGTGTTCGGAAAACTGGGTGGGTTGTCATTCTCATCCACAATATTTACCGTAAATACAATTGTAGTTGAAAGTTGTGGCGTGCCACCATCCGAAGCTGTTATGTTCAAACTATATGTAGTTGTATCCTCGTAATCTAACGACTTGTGCAGATACAAGCTACCACTAATGGGATCAATGTGAAATGTATCTTTGCGGTTGCCTGCTGTAATACTAAATGCCACTTGACTATTCACACCCAAGTCAGAATCGGTTGCTCTAAATTGCATTAGTTCGGTGCCAATGGCGCTTGTTTCCAGCACGGACACTTCACTGTCAGTTTGTGAAAATTCTGGTGCGCAGTCGTTCTCATCGAGTATTTCAATTGTTATTGTTGTTGTGGAGCTTAATTGATTCTTTAAAGCTGCATCGCGTGCGACTACTGTTAACTTATAAGATGCTCGTTGTTCGCGATCCAATTTTTGTGCAATTGACAGTTGACCTGTCGCATCATCTAATCCAAAGCGTCCATCTTGATTACCGTCAGCAAGTGCGTAATAAACATCACCGTTTAATCCTTCATCTGCATCTACCGTATATACACGCATTACCTGTGTACCAGTGGTGGCTCCTTCGGAAATTTGCACTCGATATGGGGCACGCACGAATTGTGGTGCATTATCGTTGACATCTGTTATGATGATCTTCACTTTAACTTTATCGTGTAAGCGGGGAACTCCATTGTCCGACACAATTGCTTCCAATTGAATATAGTTCAGCCCATTACTATTGCTGCTTCCGGTGTTACTAAGTGCTGTTGCAGTTGTTGCTGCTGATGTTGCTGCCTGTAGAGCATTTCCAATTGTCATGCCTCTGCGTCGTTGTATTAATTCTTCGCGATCGAATGGATGTAATGTTTTGATGAAACCATTACGCGAGTCAATTGTAAAGTCTTGTTCTTGTGTTGCTAACGTGTAAATCAATTCTGCATTACGTCCAATGTCACGATCAGTGGCCGTTAATTTACCCACAAACGAGTCGGATGGCTCGTTCTCAGCTATGCTAAACGTGAATGTATTGTTTGTGAATTGCGGTGCATTATCGTTTTCGTCGATCACATGTATTATCACTGGCACAATAGAGGAACGTTTTGGCACACCAGCATCATGGCACGCTAGTGTCAATGCGTAATAATCGCGCTCCTCACGATCCAACTGGGAACGCACAAATAAATAACCATCAGGGAAGACTCCAAACTTTCGCTCATTATTGCCCTCAGTAATTTCATAGGAAATGCGTCCGTTTGCGCCTAAATCCGCATCGCTGGCTGCTAGGGCAAAGAAACGTGCATTTACTTTCGTTGATTCAAGTAGGGATGTTTCATAGGAAGTGTGATCGAAAACTGGTGTATGATCATTGACGTCTGCAATGAGTACTGTGATAGTGTGCTTTGTTGAGAGTGCAGGTGTACCGCCATCGGTTGCCGTAAGTTCGACATGCAAAAGTGTGCCTGGATCAACGCGTACTGGCCGTTCTAAGTATAATACACCAGTGGCTTGACTAATACGAAATTGTCCATCAGGATTGTAGGTGAGTGTGTATGTGACACGACTGTTGATGCCGGAATCGCGATCACGTGCACGTGACAAGTAAACCTCTTGACCGACAGCGGCATTCTCGGCCAATAGAATCTCACCATCACGATCTTGCGCAAAGATTGGCGCATTATCATTTAGATCAGCGATAGCTACGTTTACTATGCATTTTCCGTATGCTTGTTCAGCGCGCGCAACTACTGTCAGTTGATATTGTGCCAACGTTTCACGGTCAATGCGACGAGCTGTTGTTATGTGACCTGTGCGACGATCAATTGCAAAATTCTCATCAGCATCACCGTAAACGATCGCATACTCTATATTGGGTGGTAGTTTGGCATTTACTTTGCCAGCCAGCGCCTTTACTTGTACATGCCCTACTTCACGTCCAAGCAACGCCTGTTGCTGCTCATGATCTTCAACAATTTGAAACTCATAACCCGTATACGATTCGAATTCAAGTGTCTCCATTTTGGATTGCAACATTATCTCAACAATAGCATCTTGTTCGCTCCGACGATCACCACGATCCTTTGCAGAAATTTTCAGCTTGTGTGAAGCTTTTGGCGATTGGCGTATGTCACTGCGCAATGTTATAGCACCAGTCCACGTATCCACAGCAAAAATGCCATCGCCACCTGATTCTAAATGGTAGGTAATTAAGGCATTATCGCCCGCATCACGATCACTTGCAGTTATTTTCAGTAAAGGCTGCAATTGCATTTGTTGTTGTTGTTGTTGGTGCTGTTGTTGTTGTTGTTGCTGTTGTGTTTGCGTTTGTGTTTGCGACTTGTCAACAGTTTCATCGGGCAACGCATAAAAGTAATGCTTGGGATAGAATTCCGGACTGTTGTCGTTAACATCCTCTACAGTAAGATAAACAGTAGCCGTGCTCGATTGTGGTGGTGCACCTTGATCGCGCGCAACAACAAAAATTTCATAATTCGCAATTGTCTCACGATCAAGTGCAGTGCGCGTTGTTAATTGGCCTGTGAGTGAGTCAAGCGCAAATTGTTGTGGATATTTACGTTCAACAATGCCAGGCAAAGTGTATGTCACTGAACCATTGGTGCCCTGATCATGATCAGATGCTGTTAGCATGGCGACCAATGTATGTGGTGCTATATTTTCGCTTAAGCTGACGTTGATATGTTGTTGCGAGAATTGTGGTGCCTCATCGTTTTCATCTAAAATTGTAACTTTCAGTTGTGTATATGCCCATTTAGGATTAGGACCACCATCACGTGCCGAAATGCTTAGTTCCACACTTCCTTGCACTTCACGATCAAGAGCAGCTTGTGTTGTTATAAGACCCGACGCTGGATCTATAGCAAACCATTGCTTATTGTTACCTGAGACGAAGTCATAAAAGATTTGAGCATTCACACCAGTGTCTTCATCGGTGGCAGTTATCGACGCTACATAGGAGCCTGGTGGTGCTAACTCACTTAGCACAGCAGAATACTCTGACTTTTCAAAAACAGGCTCATGATCGTTGACATCATTGACATGTATAATTAAATGAGCAGTTGCAGTACGAGGTGGAGAGCCTTTGTCAATCGCCACAACGGTCAGATTATATTTGCCAATTTCTTCCCGATCTAGTACACCATTAACACGTACCAAATCAAAAGAATCAGAAGGTTCTAAGCGAAAGTGCCCCATTTCATTACCTGAAACTATGCTAATGCTCGTATTACCATTTAAGCCCTCATCCATATCTACAACTTGTACTGCAGCTACTACACTACCATTCACTGCATTTTCATCGACGGTTGCAAAGCTGCCCGTAGGCGGAAAATACTGAAAACGAATAACCGGATCATGATCATTTGTATCAACGAGATTAACAGTCACATAAGTGCGTCCGTCTTGACGCGGTGAGCCATGATCGCGTGCGAACACTGTGAAAACGCAACTCTTCGGACAGCTACTACCTGGTCGTGTATATGTTGGACAGTTTTGTTGCGGGCAGCTTAAACGTTCTGTAGTAAAAATCACACCACTTTCAGGATCTACGGTAAATTGCTGTTCCATGTCTGACAGATAATAAGTAATCTTGCTATTATCACCTAAGTCATTGTCAGATGCCATGACTTGCAACACAGGTGTACCAGGCGGTACGGATTCATTCAGTGAAACTATGTAGTCACTATGATCGAAAATAGGCGGATTGTCATTCACATCGAGGATTGTTACATTTACTTGTAGGTAGCCGTGTCTAGGTGGTGTGCCACCATCACGTGCCGATACGTTCAATTGATAAAAACCACATGATTCACGATCCAAATTACCTGTAGTCTCCAAATGCAAATACGACACATCACCACTAGGATTTGAGGTCACAGCCAAACGAAATTTGTCATCAAAGTTACCATCAACTATGCGGTAATCATCAGTAACGCTATTTATGCCAATATCACGATCTGTCGCTGCGTCGAGCAGAAGACGCGTACCTGGTGCGGCACTTTCTGAAAATGACACTGCTATGCTCGATTCGGGAAACTCTGGCGAATTATCGTTCACATCCAATACTGTGATACGCACTTCTATCGGATACGTTGGCTGCGATGAGAGCACAACTAAATCGTAACGTTCCCGCATACCCTCACGATCGAGCACCATGTTTGTTTTTATTTCACCCGTCACCTGATCCAGCGTAAACTCACGCGGTGGTTCATTGAAACGATATGTGAACTCCGGTTTTGTGGGTATGAAACCAACCACTGTGCCACGTGGTTGCCCCTCCAACACTTCGAACTGTGCGCGTGTGTCCACCGCACGAGATTGCATTTGCCCCGTCGTACCATCGCCACCAGCGGAAGAACGTCTGCGTGGAAAAGCGGTATATTGTGCTGATGTTGACACATGTCGTCCCGGACCTTGACCGAGGATATGTACACCGCTTGTACTTTGACTTTGGCATTGTGCCAACGGTAATAACAATACTAAGCAGATAACTGCATTTAAGGCTAAATTAAAGTAGGGGAGACGAAAGAGGGACAATTGGGTTTTGAGCGGTTTTTGTCGCTTCTGTGGCAAAAGACAGTCTTCTATGTTTGTTTGCTGTTGTTGTTGTTGTCGTTGGTTACGTTGCAACTTTTCGCTTACTGTTGTTGTTGTTGTGTGAATTTTTATTTGTGTTGTTGTAAGTATTGTTGGTGATTTTATTGTTGATCTATTAATGACAATGTCGCTAGTCTCTTCTAGATTTGTCATGCTGCAAATTTTGCTGTCTTTGCTCTTTTCGCTGGCAGACAAATTTGCTATTTGTCTACAGTGCGTCATAATGCTGGACTCTTGGACAGCTCAACTTAAGTCCAGCTACAACAGCTTTGTTGGACAAATGCCTGTAAATGTTCGGCTGGTTTGTAGATATTATTTGTGGTTATTTTTTGAGATTAATTATGTGTAATAGTAATAGCTTGTCTTTTGAAATTCGTGTACACTTTTTGCTCTTTTTCTTGTTGTTCAAATTTTGATTTATTTTTAGTTTTAATTAAATTTTGCAGATTTACAGCCATTAGAATTTCAGTATAGACGACCGTACCGAATCATTTTTATTTAATTTTTGTCCGTAGGTACGACATTTTGCTGTGTACAACTTATTGTCATTATTACAATAAAAATTAAATTATAATATCTTAATAAAAAGTGAATGAGTATTTAATGGATGTGTTAAATAATTGTTGAAATTCACATAAACATTTGGCGCGCACTTCAGTCCATTTAAATAATTTTTTTTATTTAAAAATATCACCTGAAATAAAAATAGAGAATATAATTGCATTATTTGAAATGGAAATTATTTTTAAAAAATTTATTTTCATTCTTTAAATTTTTAATGATGTATTATTTAAGAAAAAAGATTTTCCAATTAGTAAATCTAGCATCAATCTAGATCTGTTTTCAATCTGTCAAATTATGTTGCTCAATTAAACGTTTTTAAAGTAATCTAACATTTTTGTAGCTGTGCTAGTGAAATTATGTCGAATCAAATCACACTTTATCTCCCAAGTCAAAAAGCAGCTGTTAGTTTCCGGATAATTTTGCTACTCTAGCATAATATCAAGAGTGTTATAAATTTATATCGATTATTATATATTTCGCTCGAGATTTACCAATCAATAACAAAAAAACTGCACTGAAAATGAATCTCGATTGATAAAGTTACCCTAGATTTACCAATCGCAACTGAAAACTACACTAAACGTGAATCTGGATTCAACAAGTTGAACTAGATTTGTCAATCGAAAACGACAGGAAGGGTTAAGTGGAAAAACAATTACACAGTCACATGTTCCTCAGGATTCATTAAAACTGAAGAACATACAGGAAATGCTAAGTTTAAATCATTTTTTTTTAAAACAACTATTCGTTAATAATATAATTAATATAATAAAATATTAATATAATATAATAATTAATATAATAATTTATATAATAATAATAATATAATAATAATAAAATAATAATAATATAATAATTAATATAAAAAAATATCAAAAAATTAATTAAAATATACGTATTATATATATTGCAATCATTAACTTGATATACATCACATAAATATGCAGACGCTATATAAGCCTATATTATAATATTATATTATAATATTTATTTATTATAATATAATATTTATTATATTACAATATTTATTTTTATATATCACATAAATATGCAGATGCTACATAAATCTATGTTATATATAATGTATAACATTATAAATTATTTATATTATAATATTATTATAGTATTACTTGACATATATCACATAATTATGTATATATTGGATATGTCTATGTTATTAACCTGACAAATATGGCATTAAATTGATAATTCGCTATCCAGTAGAGCGCAAAACACATGTTAACACCTCAAGTTGAAGTAAATCACCACAATTAAATCAAATTGCCAATTTAACGCCAAATTGCAGCAACTATAACAGAAACGGCAACAGCAACTGTAACAGCAACAGTAACAGCAAGAGAAACAACAACAACAAATACAACAACTGCGGCAGCAATAATTTACTTAGTACAAAACCAACGAATTCATTAAAAATTACAGAAAGAAAAAGTGGGTGTAACCAAAGTACAATACAAAAAGCAACAAAACAATGAAACGAAAGGAGAAAAACCAAAACTGCAAAAACAACAAAAACACCAAAAGCAACAAAAACAATGAAACAATGAAACAATGAAAACTGTGAAAACTGTGAAAATGCAAGTTAAGTTGAAGAATCAACCGAAGGGAATCGCTACATGTGCTATTAAGGCAATAATACATTAAACAGCAACAACAACAGCAGCAGTGCAGGCAACTGTAACGTCAACAGTGGTAGCAACATTTATGTTGTTGCCATGTTCAAGAGCTCAGCTGAGTGCTTACAGCGCTCACAATCTGTTCACACCTAATGGTTTCCCCCCCCCCCCAGATTTCTGTTAAGTCTAGCCAAGTCAAGTTAAGTAAAGCACGGAAGCTCAACTACGGAAAATTGCCGAACAATAAAATTCACACATTTTCACAGTACACGAAGCGTGAAATATTTAAAAAATTAAAAGCGCTAATACTTTTTTTGCTTATATTTATTTTATGAAATTTTAAATGGAATATAAAATTAATATCAAACAAATTGGAATACAATAAAATAAATTACAAAGCCATTTTTATGTGAAACAAATTAAAATATTTCTTAATTAATGTAAATGCATGCATTTCACATGCACTCGCACTTGCGTACAGTGCAGAAGAAAAGTACTGCTGTCAAAGTCGCTGTCAAAGCCGCTGTCAAAGCCGCTGTCAAAGTCGCTGTCAGCTACTGTAAACGTTGCTGCTGCATGCATAATTCATGCGTGCCTCATACACAGGCAAGGTTTGCTTAATTACTAACTTCAATTCAATTCTAAAATCATTTTAAAAGCATTTAAAATATTCACCTTAACATTTAAAACCAAACATGAAACCACCAAAAAAAAAAAATAATAATAATAATAAAGAATAATAAAATAGTTTTTTTTTTAATTAAAAAAATATGTTAACTTTAAAGTCAAAAATGTTAAAATTTGTAGAAGCCTAATAAAAGTGGAACTACAGTGGCGGGCATTCATGACGAGTCAATGCACCAGAATATTCGCCATTGCCTTCAACTACCGCTTGGCTAATAAGTTTTAGTTGAATGAATGGAAGCCACTGTATCCAAGTGCCTCAGTACTGACTGAATTGTGAGAAGTTAAGCAAAGAATCTTTTGCAGAAAATTATGATGAATTTGTGCTTAGCATGCACGATTTGTTTGTCCCAAAAGCGGTTGTTGTGGTCGTATGTATTGCAGACACCGATGCCGCAATCATTGGTCTCAAAAGCCCAACTAATAAGAGAAGGAGACAGAAGAAAAGCAGAAAAGCCACTCTTGAAAATAAACCTAAAAACATAAAAAAGATTTGAAAGCATATTAATTGACTACTAGAAAGGTTGTCTCCCAGGAAACAAAAAATATATGAGGATATCAACTTCCCTTATTCGATCCTTAAAGTACTTAAGCATTTCGCCGACAGTGTGTCATTCTTTCCAACTTTTAACTTTTTTTCCACTTTTCGACGCTGTTTTTCATAAATAATCCTCTAATTCATAATAATTATATTAATTCGACTAAAACCACAAAGCATTTTAATACTCAAGCCACTAGTAATATTATGACTGCTATAATGAATCAGACAACTAAGAACACCAGGGGATATGCACTTTATCTATTACCAGTCTTTGAAGTGTCTTCCCCAACATGGTATCATTCTCTCCAACTTTTCGATTTTTTCCAGTTTCTGCTCTCTCCAGACTGTTCTGTATAAATTAAATCATATAATTAATAATAATACTATTAACGCTATACATCAATCAACTGCTAAGTTGTCTATATTCGCAGATTCCTTTTAAAAAGCAGTATAGACAGCTGTGATACGACACTTGATTCATCCAATAATATTGTTGTCGTTGGCGTAAGCAATGAGAACACGGTTTTGTAGAATAATGTGTCATTACGATGAATATCTGTGCATAATCACTTGCATGACTAAATTGAAAAGATTATATGATAAAGGATCACCTTATCTAAAGCCTTGAGTGGTATCAAAAGGTTGGAAGAGAATTGATTATACCATGCTAGAGTTACGGGTACTGCTTAACGTCATTGTGCAGATTCGTATTGACTTTGCAGGGTTACCGAGTTTAGTCATTTGGTCTTAAACGTCTTCCCTAATAGGACTATCGAAAGCTGCTTTTTAATCGACAAAAAAGTGATTGGAATCGATTTTGTGTTCGTGGATATTTTTCACAATTTGTATGTTTTTCAATGCACTTGAAATACGATAAAGATATAAAGATATTTCTGTTTTTTCACAATGTCAAAGGTAGTAACTCAGAAATATCAAATATTTTTTACATATATTTCTTTGAAGCAAAACCCTTTGACTGTGATTTGTGCAAATTTAAAATGGTTTCCTGAATGAACAATAGTTGACGGCACCGATTTTAAATCATCTGATGACAGTTGAAATTAGTGTTAGTAATTCCAATAACTAAACTCCGATTTAGATTTTTATATGGACTTTTCAATAGCAAGTACACGTTTTTTTGTTTTTATAAATATTTAGACTCTGATAAGTAAAAATAAATCACTCATAACTTATTCTAAAAGTCAGGTGGGGTTAAGAGAATGCATGTTTATACATATATCAACACTTTTCTCGAATCTTACTATTACCTATTGTTATGCACTTAAAGTTTCCAGAAAGAAGCCTGTTATTTCCAACCACTGGAAACAGTGGTAAAGGTTGCCTTACATGTGTGTTCTTTGATTTTTAGGTAATCCTAACTGCATAATGACCCCGAATACTAATTTTAAAATCTAGACGTAATGTCATGTAGTCTCTAGCTATTTTTTAATCAGCTACGATTCCTCTTTTGGATTTTATCCTACAACTCTGAACAATCCTAACATACACATCCCACACAGCTCTGAACAAATCCAGCTGCAGAAATTGTAGTTTTGAAGAATTCTCAAAGTTGTTATATATTTTATACAAAAGCCTAAAAGTTACTTTACCTAGGAACACTTCCTTAAAAAATTTTTCAAAACAATCTTTTTAAAATGTAGAGCAGTTGGAAAACTACTAAAACCTACCATAGTTCGGTACTAATTATCATGTATGCAACAAGCATACAAATGTATGAAATACATATGTATTAAGATCTGTCATATTGCCCATACCCCAATGCCCTTATACCCTCTCAAATCTTTTTGGCTCAATTTGGATATCAGAGTGTTTCGTGTGTCCAACAGAAGCATTTTGAGCGATACGAGTAGCTTCCAAGCATGCGCAGTTCGCTACGATAAATACTTTTGGTAGCTTTTAATAATTTTCAAGTTCGAACTCTGGTTCTCGTCATATTGTCCATCGTCCACC